AAAAAAAAGAGGGTAAACATCTTTCATCTGTGTATTTTATATTGTGCATCATGTTTGCATGCTAGGTTATCAAGTATTGATCAGATATCCATTCCCCTCTGATTTTCTGTTCACTGTTCAGCAGATGTTCAACAACCGGACAGGAAGTCCAAAATGTCTCCAGCGGTTCTGGTGGTTCTCATCAGTCTCGTCGTTCTCTTGGCAGCTGCTGCTAGCGGCCTGGGTCTGAAAAAATTTTACCTGTGAAAATATGAAGAGAAGTCAAATAAACAAACTCTTAATATTAAATTTATATTTAAATGTGATTAAAACAAATTTTTTTAGCAAAAAAACATTTTATGTCTTGTCTTTTATTTGTTTTTATCTGCTGGTTTTGAATATTCTTCATAGTCATTATTCACATAACCAGTTGAAAAATTCAGCAGCTATTAAACCAGAAACTGAAATCACAGTAGCTTCTGGAGTAAAATGTCATTAAATAAATGCTACTTTTTACAAAGTAAGTTTGTAAATAATGAGAAATGTTATTTTGCATTTAAGTGATCATAATTATTTTTCTTTAACCAGTTGCACTTTATATAACGAACAACAAAGCTCTCCAAAGCCTGAATGAGGAGATCGACATGTTGAAGAAAAACATCTCACGTGAGACTCAGAGTTTCATTTAGAGCTGTCAGATCTGGGATTTTAATTATTTTAACACTGTTGGAAATATTTAAATATTCATCAGGACTTCATTTTCTTTAATTCAGCAGAAAACATTCAGTTCAGTTTATTTATGTAGCGCCAATTCACCACAAATGTGAGGCATTTTGCAAAAAATATTTTAAATGATTTCCAATTAATTAACCAATCTAGTTAAAATTAGTTTTAACTAGATTGGTAACTAGTGGCTGCTGGTAACTGGCTCAGAACCAGCAGCCGTCTGCCACAACCACCGTTTGAGAAGTCGGAGCACAGACACAAAAAAGAAACAGAAAAACTGATGTAAAAAACTTTTTGTGTTAATGAAAAGTAAAGGTTAATAGAAGACTTTGAACCTAGATATTTAATGTTGGATAAAATCAACCTGTGATCATTGTCAAATATTAACTGGCTTTACTGTCAAAAACATTGAGACTGAAAATAAAGAGGAAGTGATGAAGAGGAAGAGCCAAATTAATCTTCTACCCAAGTTAAGAGATAAGCATCAGTGAGAGAATTTTGTTTGTTTTCTGTTGAGCCCTGCAATAAAGGAGTCTGTCATACTTCAGTTCCAACATTTATTTTGACATTTATTTTTAAACAGAAAGCATCAACCAGCCTACATCTCCACCACCAGCAACGTGTCCATCTTGTCCCGCCACGCCTTCTAGTCCTACTTCTGGAACCACAGAACCGCTGCTACCAACATGTCCTCCTTCAACATGTCCAGAACCTCCAACATGTCCTCCTTCAACATGTCCAGAACCTCCAACATATCCACCAACTAATACAACAAGAAGTAAGTCCAGGATTTGATCTTTGTTTCATTTCTGTCCTCTAATGATGTTAAAGAGACACTGATGGACTGACAGAGACAGGAAGTTAGATTGTAGCTGCAGGACAGAAGACGCCTCCTGCTGTCTCCAAACCACACAAACATCTACAGAGATTTTTTCTTCCTGGTTTACTGAAGGCTTTGTTCTGATCTGTTTGAAGATGAAACATTTCTGGAGTGTGAACCAGGCTGGGAGAAACATGGAGGAAACTGTTATTATTTCAACACCACTAAATCCTCCTGGAATGACAGCAGACGTTCCTGCGCTGATCTGGGATCAGACCTGGTGAAGATCGACAGCAGAGAGGAGCAGGTATGAAACTCTGCTGCAGGTTCAGCTTCTCTCTCATTTCATCATGATTCTTCATCTCAGCTCAGAAAAGTTTCACTTGTATCTTCATCAACNGTTAGAGAGACATTGATGGACTGACAGAGACAGGAAGTTAGATTGTAGCTGCAGGACAGAAGACGCCTCCTGCTGTCTCCAAACCACACAAACATCTACAGAGATTTATTCCTCCTGGTTCACTGAAGGCTTTGTCTTTGAAGATCTGACATGTGAAGCAGGATGGGAGCAACATGGAGGAAACTGTTATTATTTCTCCACCAACAAATCCTCCTGGACTGACAGCAGATGTTCCTGCGCTGATCTGGGATCAGACCTGGTGAAGATCGACAGCAGAGAGGAGCAGGTATGAAACTCTGCTGCAGGTTCAGCTTCTCTCTGGTTTCATCTCAGCTCAGAGAAATCTAACAGTCATTTTCATCAACTTCTCCTGTTCAGATGTTCCTGGACAGCAGACTGAGAGGCTTGATGGAGGACAGTGAGGACATGTTCTGGATCGGACTGACCGACTCAGTGGAAGAAGGCAGATGGTTCTGGGTGGACGGATCAGCTCTGAATCAAAGGTGTGACTGATGTGGAAAGATAGTGGATATTTCACAATTAACACCGTGTTTATTATCACACATGTTCCTGATCTTCATCTTTTAGTTTAAATTTTTGGGTTGACACACCTGATGACTGGAAAGGTCCTGATCAACAACATCCAGAGGGAGAAGACTGTGCAACAATGGGGAGAAAAGAAGTACCTCCAGACCTCAATTGTTGGGCTGATATTTTCTGTTTTAGTTCTCAAAGAAGTATCTGTGAGAAAACTCCAGAAACTGGACAAATGTTTTGTGTGTGAGGTTCAATCCAGGCTACAAAACAACCAGAGTGAAATATGTAGAAGTTGCAGAGTTATGTTACATAATGTCAGGTTCATTTGCAGCTAATTACTAGATTAACTCAAAGATAAATACATTTCTCCTTTTAAACTTTTTCTCTCAGTTCTCACCATATTTTCATTGAAGCAAAAGTAAAACAACTTAATATTAAGTCAATACATTGATAGTGAGATTAAAGTATTGCTGGTTTTTTTTTACCTAACTAATGAAAAACAATCTTCAAAATGTTTTTACTGTAAGTATCTCACTAGGATGGTTTGATGTAACATTTTAAAAAGCAACATGTTCTCGATGCAAAGGAAATAATTTTATAGAAATTCCACCATGTTTTTTATTGACCTTCCTGTTTTTATCTGATGCTTTAAATTCATAAAGTATTTTTATTATTTCTTTTTGAGTTTATAATCTGGTAAATTCTGTACAATTTATTAAAAACTCTTCACCATGTAAGAGAATTAAATGTGTTTTTATTTGTTTTGTTTGCTAATAATTATAATTTCAGACGAACTTACTTCCTGTTTCAGCATTTCATCAGGTTTCTGTTTGTCATCAATGATGTCTTCTTCCATTCACTCATTCATAACTACAGAGTGATGGGGCTGGTACCTACCGCCATCTAGTGGAGAGAGACGGGACATCCTGGACAGGACGCCATTCCATCACAGGACGACACAGAGACACAGGACAGACAACCAGACACACACTGATGATTTAAAGACGTCCTTTAAACGTCATGGAGTTAATGTGTTAAC